GTGTCTCGTAGATGCGTCTCACCGTCTCCTCCAGGGTAGTCCAACTCGAGGTCCTCGTACGCGGCTTCCACCAACTCGACTTCGACCTTGGAGTATCCTGCTGGAATCGGCCTGCAGTGGTAAGTCCCTGAAGGGTCTGTTGGATGGCCATGCCCGACGCCACCTTCACGTGGTGAGAGGTTATCTATTAGTAATCAACATATATAAGCAGCAACTTGCGGAATGGACAAGTCTAAAATCTATAAACTACGAGCTTACCTTTATTGATAAGTTCTTGAAGGGAATATGCAGCTCACATGGTGTCCGCTGAGTGATGGGACGACAGGAGGATCTCCTTCTCCATGCGTGGCAACAATGTGTCGCATTCATCGTCCTAAGTAACTTATTTTGTATTAAGTTATAATTATATCTCTAGGATTCTTATTTGTCCCAAAATAGTTGTCACAATAGAGTACTAATTGTCCTATTAATCACTTCTCATTTATCGAAATTACTTTTAGGATTTATTGAAGTTACTTCCATAAATGCCTAGGAAGTAATTTAAGCAAATCTAAAGTAAATTAGATATATGATAAAGTAATTTACAATATATATTTTTTTGTTAGAACGTAATAATTTAAGATCTTGTTGTAAAGATTTGAATGAAACGAGTATAACAGTGTAATCGGATTATAAATCAGATAAGTAATTTAACACTATTATACAAACGATTTTTCTGTACAAGAACCCCTATAATTTGCAGGCGGATAGTAACTCGATGCGTCTGTAAAAATAGACCTACATTTTTACATACGGCTTCTTAAGAAATCCACATACAAAAATCAATTTTTATTGGCAGGCCTATTTTCGCACGCGGCCTCTTAAGTGGCTCACATGCGAAAATACCCCTTTCTCTTCACATTCTTTTTATTCCTCCCCTCCTTTCTCTCTCTTCCCCTCCTCTCCACCACTCCTCTCCCCCACTCGGCTACTCCTCCCCTCCCAAATCCCTCTCCTCTCTCCCACTCCACTCCTCTCTCCTCTCCTCCTTCCTAGCGGTGGGCTAGGGTTCTGGGCTATGGTTTTGAATTTCCGATTTTTCTTTTGATAAGTTTCCATTTTTTGCGTGCGAATGACTTAACCACCTACATGGGAAAATTGGATTTTCGCGTGCACGCGGTTGCTCTACCCGCATGCAAAAATCTAATTTTCGCAAAGACCTGGGTGCATGCGTGCGGATCACCACTCGCATGCGAAAATTAGTTTTAACCGCATGGAAAAAATGACATGCATGACCTAGCTAAGTAGATATTTAGCTTGCCATCCTTATGGATAATAAGTAACACTTTCTCACCTAGCAAAGTATGCATGCACTTGTTGAGATCAAATAGTGCGTATGCACTGTTTAAATTTTGCCTTCTAAGAAACCTCAAGCACAAGGGGCTAGCTAGACGAGATGAGACAACGGATTCGTGCTGCCGTCTTGATCGATCAGGCGTCACATCAGCTCGTCGCATGTATATATGTCATCAGTACGCTCCCGACCGATCCTCTCACGTGGCTCCTGAAAAAACACGGAGAAATTTCTTAGCCGTGTCGAATAATGTATACTACTGTTGTTGTCTACCGAAAGTAATGCCGTTTCCATGCATCCAGCTTCCTCTTTGGTAGCCTTTTTTTTTTCTTGTTTTGAAAATGCAAGTTGTTCTTCTGAGTTACTAATTGAAAATGCAAGTTGGACTACTAGTTGTTCTTCACTAACTCAGAAGAAAATGTCAGGGCATTGTCCTGAATGTCACAAAGGCAACTTTTGTGGAATTTAACCAAGACATGGATCATTCACTATGAAATATTTTTCTGTAGAAATACAGGCAGCTGCCTAGCTACCCTTTCAAAAAGCTGCGGAAATACCAAATTCCTCTGGAAATCAAAATATTTGGATGATTACTCTTTAAAGATTAGCATCCTAAGAAAAGACAATATGTTCAAAAGAGGATATGGAAGAATGGGAAAAAGAAATACCAATTTTGTACCGATGATGACACAAATGTCAAGATTCATGTCTGGTTGAGAGTGGTAGCATCTTGAGGCTATCTGCATCTTAGGGCATGCAGTCGCGAGTTTCGAATCTGAAATACATATATGAAATAGGTATGTGTCCCGAGAATTTCATATGCTTTAGTAAACAAAATTAGGTTCCAGAATTGCTAGATCGATCCACTTGTTTATTATGAGATGTACTATGGCTAGATATATTCATTTTGAACGTACTAGCTAGCATGTACCTATAATATTCATTTCTAATTGTGACTTATAATTTGATTGCAACATGAAAAATGTGGCGTTTAATCAGATGCACACTTTGTGCTGCTTTTGATCCAACAGGTTTGAAATCTTGCTAGCTAGTTTCGCGGTTGGAGTGTACTAGTAGATGATATTGACGATGATGACAAAGAGATCTCTCCTTCAAAATAGTACTAATAATCCATATCTTGATTAGATCACTCGGTCCACGGAGTGTACTAGGAGAATCAGAAGCGCCGTAGCGACTGTCTTGGGCTCTTCTTTGTTTCTATCGAGGCGACCAAGCCTAGGCCGAGTTTAGTTCCAAACTTTTTCTTTAAAGTTTCAACTTTTTCATCACATCAAAACTTTCCTATACACACAAACTTTCAACTTTTTCATTACATCGTTCCAATTTCAACCAAACTTCCAATTTTGACGTGAACTAAACACACCCCTGATTAACTTTTCAGCCTCCCACGGGCAAGATCAGAGCTGAACTCCGGCTAGCTGTTGGCAATGTGGTTCGGCTTGCTAGCGGCGAACATTCCGATTCCGGAGGAATTAAAGGATCAGACAGTAGGTGATGACGGCTGCTTTGGTTTGGTCGTCGGAAGATCGATGCTGTACAGAACACGATGTCAGCCAACGTCAAGTCACATATATATACCTATCCATATCCTCGGAAAGAAAAAGGAACACATATCCACATGCATGGTCCACTTAAAAAACTACTCCTACGTACCATACATGGAATACCAAGTTACTTTACAGTAGTACTCAGTCAAAAGGGCAGAGAAATATAATCCCATACTTAGATTGGCTTTTTGACCATGACAAAAATCTGTGATTTGCAAGTGACGTTATTGCTACTCCTGTTAATAGCATCTACTGTTGCCCTTTGGATAAGTCTTTGTCCAGATTTATTGTTTTAAAATAGGTCACATTATATTGTATGTTGGTTTTTTGCTATGGGGGAGTATAACTATTTGGTCGAATTTGGCAACTAATAGCTGGCACATTAATTAAATAAAATAGTTAATAGAGAAATTTTAATTGTTCATTCACTATAACTAGGAGAAAGTGGGTACGTAATGCATGGCTTGACAGAGAAGGTAATGAGCACCTTTTAGTGTTGGAATTTATAATTAGGAATCTAAACTATTTCTCCACGGAATCTGTGGATGCATGCCCGATTCTCTGATATGGATGTGGTAGCTGGTGGAGATGATCTGGCGCAGTCCACAGCAGCTAGCTATATACAGTACGAACTCTGACTGGACACTGGAAACCAGCCGCTTTGGTCATGCACGAGATTCTCCTTTTGAACGATTCTTAGGTTTTTAATTTGGATGGGAGCTAGCAGCACTCGTTGATTTAATTTAATTTAGTTCCCAAATTAAAGTGAGTACTACAGATGAGGATATGAACACTGATCGATCGGTGGCACATTTGTGTATGCATTTCTTTGTCGCGAAGTTTGTTACGAAGAGGAGATAACTTCAGTCTCCGCACTTCTTTGATCTACTTAATTTTTTTTACGAAGATGCTTATTGTACCTCCTTCGGTGCATGTGCTATTCGGAGGAAGAATAAATAAATATTGAGAAAATTCTATCCCTGAAAGTTCGTCCAATCCCTTCTGTACCCTATAAGATCGATATGCTCATTTTTCTCTTCCATACCCCTAAATTTCAGTTTGGATCCTTCTATACCCCTTCCATCAGTTAATTGACCGTTAAATTCATATCATAAAGTCCATTTTACGCATCGATATCAAGAAAATATAAATTTATGAAGTATGTTGATGGAGTGTATAAATTTATTATATCCGACTATTATATTTATGAGTTTATTTTGTGAGATATTATTTAACAAAAGTAATAACAAGATTTATCTGATAAAGAATTTTGTACTATTATAACAAAATATGTTATATATACAGTTTTCAATGGTAAAAAATATTATTTTTTTGTTTTATCTAAAATAAATTTTGTCATAGATAAAAATTATTTTTGTTTTCCCTTCGCGAGGCGAAACTAAAATATTGCATTTGTTAAATAATATCTCACAAAATAAACTCATACATATAATAGTCGCATACAATGAATTTATACACTCTATCAATATACTTCATAAATTTATATTTTTTATATCAAAGGGCAGAATGAACTTTATGATAGAAATTTAACGGTCAACTAATGCAAGGGGTATAGAAGGATTCAAAATGAAATTTAGGGGTATGCAAGGGAATGAGTAAATATCATAGGCATAGAAAGAATTGGGTGAAGTTTGAAGGTACATAGGGAATTTTCTCATAAATATTCCAGTATCGATTTTTAAAGAAAAATACCCGGATCGAATTAGAAATGGTAAGATATATGCGTAGCTGGAGTAAGTAGTTTATTTCCTTGATAAGAGAAAGACTGAACTAGTCAAATGTATCTGACCTAATCTCTTGGACGAAAGAGAGACTAGATAGTAAATAATAAATCAGTAAAGAAAACAGAGTACATATAAACAAAACGGGATGAGTAACAGATTAGGTTAACGTCGAATCGTAGCTCACGTGAACGGTCGCTGTCAACGTACATGCACGACGGGTTCAAATAGTAAATATTAACAGGTCGAGCTGTGCGTGACACGTACAAATCTCACCATGTATATGTAGGAGTACAAACCAAATTTATTGCCCCCATTTATTCCGATTTTGTTACAAACCAAATGTATAGTGTACTGTATTACAAAACCCACACGATTATATTGATAATTTCAATCATATCATCTACTACTACATAACTTTATTTATATAGTAATATATAGTAACTATATATCACATGGTATATACTCAGATATGTAGCTAGTGGGGAATACAACGCACAGGCTGCTGCGTATTGGGATCTGTTGTACATGATGAGTGTCCTGGTGCTGCCGCCTTCAGCGGCATCGTCCCAGATGCTGCTGCAGCAGCAGCAGCTTCGTTATGGCCGCCGCCGGCGGCGGGCAACGGCCGCGCCGCCGTCGCAGAGTTGGCAGACGCAGCGACGACCAACAGCAGCATCGTCAGAGCCGCCGCCGGTGAGAACCATGTCGCCCGTCCGCTCCTCTTCTTCCTCTCGCTCGCACGACGACCATTCGTGACGACCATGAGCATGACGATGATCGTCGTGGCGATCAGTCTGTCGGCGATGCTTGATTGGATTTGGTCGAAGGTCCGATCGAACTGCTGGCCATGGCCGTCGTCGGAGTTGAGCTCTGGCTGCAGGGCGGTGGGCATGATGCGGCGGTGCCACTTTCCGGCGGCCGCCGTGTTCGGCTGCGCACTAGCCGCATAAAGAACCTCGGACGCTGATGACAACTGCAGGGGGAGCAGATCATGAGAGTCAGAGGGTCAAACATCACTGGTTCAATTTTTCCAGCACAATGAGATTCGACAGTACACTACTATAAACCTGGAATTTGTCTTTCTGAGTTAGGCTATGTTTAGTTCCACGTCAAAACTGGAAGTTTGAAGAAATTATAATGATGTAACGGAAAAGTTGAAAGTTTGTGTGTGTAGGAAAGTTCGATGTGACCGAAAAGTTGAAAGTTTGAAGAAAAAAGTTGAAATCTAAACAGTAGTAAAGGTTCACGTAAAATACTGCATTTCCTCCAAGGAAAAAAAGGTAAAATACTGCAGAGGAAGATTAAGGGCTTGTTTGAGGGAGTTTCTAGCTGCTTTAACTTCTCAGAATCAAAAACTTTCCAAACAATCCAGTTTTTTACTAGATTCAAAGAAACTATAATTGCAGAATTCAGAAAATAAACTAGAAACTAGAAGCTAGACAATTCAGCTTTTACCGATTTTGAAGTTGGCTTTCAACTACCTGCTTCTTAGAATCTTAAACTTCCCCAACCAACGCTAAGAGAATCTTAAAGCAAGGTGTTACCTTTCCGTCGGAGCCGTCATCGTCGGCACCGACGCCCTCGTTGGTGATGGCGTACTGCACCTCGTCGTCGTCGACGTTGCCGTCCTCCTCGGTGATGGAGTGCACTTCGCGGTGACATATGTCGCCACCGTCCACATCGGTGATGTTCCTTGCGGAGTCGACGCCGCCGCCACCCACCACCAGCTTGGTGACAGCGTGCACCACCTCATCACCGACGACGACCTCGGTGATGCTCTGCCCGGCCACCGCCGAGATGGTGACGTAGAGCAGGAGAACACGCCGTAGGCAGACGAAGAGCAACACCTGATCGGACGGGCTCATGGCCTAACGCTAGCTGTGTGAATTCTACGGTGTGGTTTGTGACGGTAATTAATTAATATTCGTTCGAGCGTTAAGGGCTTATATAGCCCAGCGCCCGAGGGAGAGGGGCGCTGGAAATTCTTCTTGCCGAAGCTTTCTTTCTGATAAGAGGTTGTGAAAAGTTCATTTCTTTTATCGATCCCTACCTAATGTACATAGTTATCGAGATATATGCATAGTCATTCGTTCGTGATGTCATGACTGCCGCCATTCGTGCAGCCATGCATGCTCGATTGTGCCGGTAACCCAAATTCATTATAGTAGTACAAAATTAAAAATAAATTGATGAATAGTAAAACAGAATGAGAAGGCTGATACGTAATTCTGGAGTTAAACAATTGAGTCCATCCATGCATGGTAATGGTGCATCAACACCATGCATAGATGTAAAAAGTTGGATAGATGTCATATCCTGTTTTAGGCCAGCTAAGCATGCATCCACATACTATGTATATTCATGCAAGAAAAAGTGATCGTGTGTGAACGGCCGCATACATACGCACAAGCTCCTTATGCGAACAAAAGAAATATTACCACTAGCAAGTAGAACAGACAGAATCATACAAATTAAGGGGATTTGCAACGAGACAAAACAGAATAATACCAAGGCGTTTGTAAGGAGACAAGTGCTCCGTCCTCACTCCGTTCTAGACAAAACTAAATGAATTAATTTGAACATATATTTAAAAACTAAATGAATTTGAACATAGATTAATTTTTAAAAGTTTTGTTTTTCTTAAATACAAAACGACTTTTTATGGTGTCACCCTTTTATCCTTACTGCCGAATAAAAAAAAACTTGAAAAAAAATGTCTCGGAGGAATTCCGGCCAAAGGACATCAGCAAAAAATAGATTTTCGCTGGTGGTCGCCATTTCTTCAGTCGGACCTCTTAGCAACCTTTTTCGCTGGTGGTAGCCAAAGAGTACCGCTCACAAAATTAATGTCAACTTATTAAAACACCCACAGCCCACCTCACCACCTGTCCCCGCCTCTCGATCTCCTTCCTTTCTCCCTCCTACCTCCAGACTCTCTTGCCCCTCGCTCCCTCCTTCCCTCGTCCTTCTACCTGCTCCCGTTGGCCCTCTCTCCACCACCGCCAAGGCGTGCCGCTACTGTCGCCTCTCTAGGAAGCTGTCAACATTCCGTACTGATGCTAGATTAGCCAATAAGAAGGTCAGGGCCATCGGATCTAGGAGACCCTAGCCTCTCCGCTGGTGGATCTGGCTGGCTGGAGCGGGTGGCGAATAGGACGATGATGAGAGGGAGTAAGAAGATGGCCGGTGGCGAGAGTCGAGTTGGGATCGCTAGATTTGACGGCGGTTCTTGGACCGCTAGATCTGGCAGTGGCGACGGTCAACTTCGACGACGACCCTTGATGGCGGCGGCACAACGGCTCCACACGCAAGCTTGACCATGTTGACCCTCAGTGGTGACTATGTCTAGGGTTTGCGGCTGACTCAGTGATGGCGATGCCGACTGCAGCTTGGTGACAACAGCGATGACCTTGACCGCGATGCTTGTGGTGACTGTTGATGCTTGTGTTGATGTAATGCTGCTGTTTAGGGTTGAAAGTGATTCGGAGAGTTTCCATCCGACCGGACTTTTTTTCGGAATCCGATAGTTTCGGTCCGATATATCCGAAAAATTTTGAATTCGGATATATTTTTCGGAAATGAAAACGAATATGATATAGGTGATATCTGTCGGAATCGGATAACGGTCGAATAATATCCGGTATTTTCTATCGGATATCCAACTTACACATAAGGCTGCCATAGCCTATAAGCCAGCCCTACCCAAGAGGCAGCCCAGCCCAACAACAACAAGGATAACCCTAGGAAGTCTCAAGTACCTTCTCTCTTTCAGTGATACACATTAATTAATTTATTTGTTTCATGATAACATACAAAGTAAACACAACATTTTCTATCTCTCCCTTGCCCTTACAAATAGAATTAAAATTTGAAAATGTTGATGTTTTGCTTTTGAAAACTAATGGCTATATCTCTTCCTCGATTTAAGAAGCTAACTTTGAGGGGTCTTGATATTTCGATAATTATTTGTTACCATATTTGTTTCTATTCGTATTCGCTCTGTATCTGTATTCGATAATATTCGACTCCGTTTTCGTATCCGGGTTTCAGAATCCGATTTCGATTCCGAGAAAAAAAATTGAAAATGAATATGATAGAGAAGTTTTCGACCGTATTCGATCCGTTTTCATCCCTACTGCTGTTGATGGAAGTCTGAATCTAGATATGATGTAGTCTGCTGTTAATGCTTTGCCACTGTTATTCACTACTACCTCCGTCCCAAAATAAGTGCAACCGTGGATATCCGTGCCCAACGTTTGACCATCCGTCTTATTTGAAAAATTTGTGAAAAAATTAAAAATATTTAGTCACACATAAAGTACTATTCATGTTTTATCATCTAATAGCAATAAAAATGCTAATCATAAAAAATTTTCAAATAAGACGAATAGTCAAATGTTGAACATGAATAGTGCAAAACTGCACTATTTTGGGACGGAGGGAGTACTAGAAAAATGATTTTTAGCAACTTTGGCCTTTTATTTTTCCAGGCGGGTATGACCCTCGGAGCTAAATGACCGCCTAGAAAAATATAAATCGGGGTGGAGCTCACCGTCCGCCTGCGAAAATCATTTTTTCCAGACGGACCACTTAAGAGGTCCGCCTGCAAAAATACATTTATTTTCGCAGGCGGACCTCTTAAGTTGTCCGCCTGGAAAAATATGATCTTTGCAGGCGGAACGTATTGTGGTCCGCCTGCAAAAATTATGCCTCCAAAAAAAAAGTCAATTATCCTTATCCTCTCCTCTCCACCACTCATTTCCCTCCCCCTCCTCTCTCTCTCTCTCTCCTTCTCTCTCACAAAGTTAGCAAAAAAAAAATCCTCCTCCGGCTCCACTCCTCCCTGCCTCCGCCGCCGACTCCCTCCTCGACAGCGATGACCGCGACGCTGCCTCCGCTCGCCGTCGGCTCCCCTCGGCCGCAAGACGACGACCTTCGTGGCGCCGTGAAGCTTCGGATCCACCGGCTCCCCTCCTCGACGACGACAACGACCGTGATGCCGCCTCCACGAGCCGTCGGCTCCCCTCGGCCGCGACGACGACGACCTTTGTGGCGCCGTGAAGCGGCGGATCCACCGGCTCCCCTCCTTCCCGCCTCCGCCGCTGGTTGCCCTCATCCTCGCCTCCGCCGCCGGCTCCCTCCTCAACGACGACGACGACGACCGCGACGCCGCCTCCGCGAGCTGTCGGCTCCCCTTGGCCACGACGACGACGACCTTCGCAGCACCGTGAAGCGACGGATCCACCGGCTCCCCTCCTCCCTGCCTCCGCCGCCAGTTCCCCTCCTCGCCGTCGGCTCCGCCTCCACCGCCGGCTCCCTCCTCGCCACCGACTTCCTCCTCGACGACGACGGTGCCAACAACACGAAGACAACGACGTCGCGACGACGGCGCCAGGCCACCGGCTTCCTCCTCGACGACAACCACGATGCGACGACATAACGACGGCGCCAACCCCTGTGGGGACAGCAGCGGACGGAGGAGGAAAGCTGTCGTCGGCCAGAGGAAGAGGCCGGTGGCGGCAGTGAGGCGTCTTTTTTTTTATTCGCTGAAATGTGCTTTGCAGGTGGGTGAATCTACCACCTGCGAAGATGTCGTCCGCCTGTAAAATTGATTTTCGCAGGCGGGCCTGCGAAAATTATCTATTTTTTATCTTTTTTTTAGGAGAGTTTGACGGGGGGAGTAACATGCATGTATTGGAGCCAACAATATGACAGGCGGCTACCACTATGGCGTTTTTGACAGCAATATATGCAGAATGTGTAGACGTTTTTAGGTTCAATTGGTTGGAAACTCATCGTCCTGCCGGTTACCATTTGCGAATAAAATTCCCGTTCCCAAGTTTTGCACACCTCACCCGGCGTTTTTTCTCCTTGGAAAAGCACCTTAATTTTTACTTGACAACACATGTAATCGCACATGAGGACTAAGATGAGAGATCTTAAGGTCGAAACCCACATTCAACATATTTTTTTGCTTGGTAGATCATGGTCTTTAACCTCGATTTGCTGGTCACGTTTTTTATAACCAGGATTAATAGTGTTTCCAACGGGTATAAAAGATGAGTTGTTTAACCGGTGCACCTGTCAAATTAACTGCCTTGCATCCAAAGCTACAACTACGGCTGATCCTGATCCTATCCAATATTATTCTAGACTAAAATTAAAAAAAGTTGTTCCAAGATTGATTCAGTGTGCTCCATGCTCAGTTTCAAAGATTTTGGAAAAAACATTGCTGAAGTCGTGGAATCAGAACACCGCCGACGAAGCCAACAAGGACAATATTCCAAAAGGCACCCCCCGTCAACAGCCAAATTAAAATTCAGAACAGGCGGCGAATTAAGATCAGCACTCACGTGATGATTAACAGATAAACAAAACTGGTTTTGTTACCGTGCACGATTTCATCGAGGCTGTGTTTAGTTCACACTAAATTTAAAAGTTTAGTTAAAATTGAAACAATGTGACTGAAAAGTTGTGTGTATGAAAGATTTGATGAATGAAAAGTTAGAAGTTTTAAAAAAAAACTTTGGAACTAAACAGGTCCTAACACCAGCTGGCTCGAGAGACGCAAATAAAAGCATGGGGTGCGCCACGCCATGCCGTGCCCGTGCCCGTGCTTACGTACGCGGCGTGTGCGGCATTGGCGCGTCGGAGTTGGACTACACGTCTAAACGTACAAATTCAAGTGCAAGACATACGTAGTTACGCAATTGAGATGGACACGTACGATGACGGTATATATACACAGACACAATTAATGGAGTCTGAGGGTATGTTTAGTTGAAATTAAAAGTTTGGTTGAAATTAGAACGATGTGACGAAAATATTGGAAGTTTATGTGTGTAGAAGAGTTTCGATGTGATGGAAAAATTGAAAGTTTGAAGAAAAAATTTAGAATTAAACTCAGCCTGAACTACTCCACTAATTGAGAACCAATTGAAATGAAAGCATTTCTCACTTGCGTGTGCGACGGCAGCTTTGCGCGCTCCATCATATGTCGATCAGGTCGTGCATGACTGGCACGTCAGAAACGACGACCACCTTGCCCGCTGCGCTCATTTTAAACTTTTTCTTCACCAACTTTATTTAGTTAATTTATTCGGCTACTCTGACATTGACAAGATAAAACCCAGAAAGATTGAGATTGCGACCACCAGTTCCAGTTGCAGAATGGTCAGAAGAAACCAATGCAAATCTGACCATGACAAGATAAACACACGCGCAAGACTGCGATTTCATCAGTTCAATCGCAGGATGGTGGAAACAGAACCGGTGGAGAAACTTTACATGCTGTAACCTCTTCCTTACCCAATTTCAGTTCAGTTTTATTCCAAAAATCTGATTACCGACAATAAACCCAAGTACTTTTTTTTTATTATAATGGAATAAGCATCTCGGCCTTTGCTAAAAAGATCTACAGCCTATTATTACATTCTAGCACTCTAAAATGAGTGTAGTTCAAAAATGATAGAATGAAATGACCACACAAATGTAAATTAAACCAATACAAGATCAGGAGAATACATTATTAAAGTCTATTTGTGAATCTCTATCTATAATTGGTAAAAAGCTGCATAATTGACGATTTAAGGTATGTCAATCAAATTAGTTTTATGTTAAAATGACCAAATTACCCCTATTTGTTTAATTGGGTTGTCATTTCATTAAGTCATTATACACTCAACATGTTACAAAGAATCCCTACATACAATTAATTAACGAGTATTCTTTGAACACTTATTGGAAAATAACATGATAGAATAGACAGATAGCCCACTTCTCTAATCAAGTTTGGCATTGTAACGACACTTTTTCTGGGATATTATCGGAGATGTAGAACAACTCGTTTTCTGGGACAAAGGACGAAGTATTATTGTACTCTTCTTACGACAAGGCGACAAACACCATTTCAGCGCGTGCAGTAGTAGTCAGATAAGAAGAACCGAAAGAGAAAACCTATAAAGATTTCTTGCAACCTTATATAAATATTTTGAACTAACCAGCATAAAAAAAGTATATTGCAACTTTTTTATCTAGCATTATTATGCAAGGCAATTACTCCCTCTTTTTACAAACATATTATGTTTTTACCGCTAAGTCATACTCCCTCCGTCCAAAAAAAGACAAACCATAGGTCTTCGTGTCCAACATTTGACCGTCCGTCTTATTTGAAAAAATTATGAAAAAAATTAAAAAGACAATTCACGCATAAAATATTAATCATGTTTTATCATCTAACAACAATGAAAATATTAATTATAAAAAAATTTCATATAAGACAGACAGTCAAACGTTAGACACGGAAACATAGTGTTTGTCTTTTTTAGATGGTGGGAGTATTTACATAAATTTTTTGAATAAGACGAATGATCAAATGTTGGATAAAAAGTTTATACATTTAAAATATAAGGTAGTATTAATTATTGCAGTGACCGATCGATTAATTTGATCGATCAATCGATCAATTTCTGATCTTTCAATGCCCTGCTTTGCCCTTTCAATTATTGCAGAGACGATCGTCTGTTACAAATTACTGGAAATACCTACATAGTATTGCATCTCTGTAATCTCTGTTACAAATTTGAGAGAAGATAGGCCTTGTTTAGTTCTAAACTTTTTCTTCAAACTTATAACTTTTTCATCACATCAAAACTTTTCTACACACACAAACTTCCAACTTTTCCGTCACATCGTTCCAATTTCAACCAAACTTCCAATTTTGGCGTGAACTAAACACACCCTACTGCAACTGTTTTTTACATTTATATTGTCTCCAGTGGCTGCTTGCCTAAAATCAACATACATAATTGATAATTCTAATCGGAGTATATATATCCGTGCTAATTTGAGATTTTCTCATAAAAAACCTGTCCTTTTTGTGCTGGCAGGTGAATAACAGCAAGCTGCTTACCTTTTATTTCGTGGTTATTTTACTACATTTATGGCCAAAATAAATTTTTTTAGGGCACACACATTACAATGTATCGTGTGTTTATATATATATATATATATATATATATATATATATATATATATATATATATATATATAGAGTGAGACTATTCTATACCCAGGGTATAAAATAGTTATTCTATACCCCCTCCCTTCTCTCTCTCTACCGATCTCTCTCTTTTTTTATTTCATTTTATTTCTGTTTTTTAAAACCGTTTGCACCATGATGCTAGAAAAAAAGAGCTTATCAAAAGTAGATCCGTCATGACTATATTTCAACTATATTTTAACGCTGTTACTGCACGTAAGACATAGTGTTACTGCACAGAGGTCGTCGTGTTACTGCACCGTCCTAGGACGAGAGCTGAGAAGAGGTGAGTGGTGGGGGGAGTTAGTAAGCGGGTTTGACCGGTGGGAGGGGCCTTTGACCGAGGTGGAAGGTGGGTTTTGAGTCTTGGTAAGGAGGGGGAGGTGGGTTGTGCAAACACTTATGATATACCACCGTGCATTTAATTGTCATTCACCTTATGTAACGGCGTAGATACGTGGCTAGTTGAGAATGAACTGAAATGCAGCTGAATGTTCTTTTTTGAGGGAAAGCAGCTGAATGCTCTCAACCAAGTGCCATATTTAAACGTGACAAAGATATTCCATTGATAGGTAATAGCATGAACAAGATATTAATGTATCATAGCATCCACTAATCCTCACGTACATGTTTTGAGTATTTCTATACTCTAGTATCAGATAACTTATAAGCATCTCTTCCATAGTGAACATCTGTATTGAAGAGAGCCTGATCACTGTGCAGCACGGGGCTTAATTACGATGGGGGTTGCACCGAAAATGCTTGGGCATGTTGGGATCATTGGTGCAGTTTGAGCGTGTTGCATCTGCCACCGGTGCTGCAGATGCGGAACCTGCCGCAGCAGCATGACCAGAAGGGCGCCTATCGCCGCCACGGAGTATCTCGCCCTTCCGCTCTTCTTCTTCCTCCGGTCCGTCGCTCGATCAGCTAGCACGATGATCATGGCCAGTAGCGCCAGCTCGGAGTCGAGCTCCGGTAGGCCGCCGGTGACAGTGCGGTGGGACGACGACTTGCCGGCCGCCGCGGCGAACGCCGGCAGCGGAGAGCAACCAGGACGTGTCACGAACCCGGACAGCACGGAGCAGTTGAAATCACCGGGCTGCAAAGATGCCTGCCAATTAGTTAACGTCACTCATGTATAACTAAGCAACTGGCATAGTAATTAAATACATCCAAATAAGCCACAACATATTGGTAATCGATCTGGTACATCATCAAACAAATAGTAGTAATAATATTTAAATTGATGTAAACATGGTAACTTTGGGGTGGGGGGCGCGGGATAGAGATGGCGAAATAAGCCGCCCAACCCGGCTCAGCCCAGGCACGGCTAAGGTATGGCCTGCTCAACGGCCGGGCCAGGCCGTGCCCATCCACGGGCTCCACCTATAGCCCAGGCACAGAAGCCCATCTCAGATATGGCTAACAAAAGTCTATTTTGCCTCCCTTCTCTTTGGGCTGTATGGCTGTAATAAGTCTATTTATTTTTCTTCTGCTTTGGACTGTGTCTTATATATGGCTGAAAATAAGTCTATTTTGCATTCCTCATATTCATACCGTGCCACCCCACCATGCCAACGCAACGGCCCACGGCCCCAATTGTCAGGTTGGGCCACAACAGGGCCGTCACCAACCGGGTCGTGCCATACCTGGGTGGGGCCAAAGTACCGTGCCATGGGCCGGGTCGCTGGGCCTAGGATAATATGGCCATCTATAGCGCTGGATCCTAGGTAATCCACGTGCACATTCCCTTTTATTATACTCTTACTCACAAAAAACGAAATATACCACATCTGTTATTGATAAAATATATAACTATTTCAAACACAATTACTTGTCCTAAAATAAATTTATTTCTACACCTACCACCTCATCTCAAACAATCATAATCATTCTCTATTTAATTTAATTATTTATTATTTATCTTCTCAATCAATTATAACATTCCTCCAATCATTTCTACTTACCTCCTTCATACACATGTGTATGTCCAAAAAAAAAATTACATTTTAGAACGGAGAAAATACTTTTTTTTTCTCAATTCGCCTACTTGTGTGTTAATGCTTAGTGCTCATTTCCCACTATAATATATGCTTTCTAAGATACACCCTCCGCCGTAATATATATTTAGGATGGGATTAATATATATTTCCCACTATAATATACGCTTCATGTGCTACTCCCTCTCTCTGATGCTACATATTGAAACGGAGGAAGTGGATATGTACACATTCTTGTAAATCAAATCTCAAAATTTAAAATACACTTCAATAGCCTTTTTAACAAGTTGTAGCTGCCCTATGACCGTCGGCAGATCCGACCCTTTTTGTCTTTGTTTTAGCCCTCGTTGCAATTTGATACTCACTGCTAGTCGTACTATAGCTCACTGTCGTCAACCTAAGCCAGCTTTTTAGCTGGATCTTTCAAAAAACAAAGAAAAACCTGGGTAGGTGGTACTACACCGTACGCTAGCCTAGAATCGCGGACTCCGTCGCACGAGCGGGATGACAGGTACTACTAGTATTGTGTTTCTTGACAAGTCTTTAAACAATTAAACTACTGTACAAGCTAGGACGTGTGGTGAACTGGTGATCAGTTGATCATAGGCTACGTGATGTATAGCTAGTGGATACCTTACCGGCCCCCATGTGCGACAGTTGCTAACAGCCTGTTTAACAACAATTTTAAAAGGACTAACATAAGTTTCGAAGATATAAATATTTTTCGGTCTAATATTGATGGGAATTTCAAAGACTTTAAGATGGAGATGAGAATTTAAAATAGACTAGCAGAATGCCATATGCTTTGCTATAGGAGAATTAAACAAATATTATAATATGTCACAAAATAATATATTTTTTAACCAATATCTTAATGTCATTTGTTTGCTTATTTGCTTATATGTTATTTATTTGTTTAAATTAAATGTTGGACTATTCTACAATATTAAAAAAATATTACGAGACAATATATGTAAAAACTTGAAAAGTAGTAGTGACAGATACATCATCATCACCACCATCATTATAGGCTTTTAAAATAGTATATAGAATGCATGAAAGGGTAGAACTTGTCTAAATCATCACAGTAGACAAATTCCCCCTCAATTTTTACTCCTATATATATCTAGGCATTAAAAGGCGAAAGAGTTTGACTCTTTAATTGTCCTTTCCCACGTATATGTATATGAAGCTCACTAAACTTAAGAGGTAAGGGAGTGTATCTGATCTGTTTAGAAAACAAACCGTATCAAACTTTAATAAAACCAAAATATGGCAAGGTGACACACTGACGATCCAAACATTGATAATTTACAAAACTTCCTTACATTTTAAAAAAATGCAAACGTATCAGTAAACATACCATACCTAAAGACGTGGCTACTATCTACCTATACTTCAAATAAACTTTTCTCTTAAACTACTCATCCGATCTACGATCCGATTACACCGTTGTGTTCGTAACAATTAAATCTTTATAACAAGATCTCACATGATTATATTTTGATGAAAATTATAAATTACTTTTATAATATATCTAAATTACTTTTAAATTTCACTAAATTACTTCTTGGACATAAAAAGTAATTCAATAAAGCCTAAAAGTTATTCCATCAATGTTATTTACAATCCATGAAAGGTTTTATCTTCTTTTCTCATTCTACATGAAAAGCAAAAATGAAAGGAAAAAAACAAAAACAATCGGTGATTAAACGGATTTACAGAGAGTTACTTCTCGACCATGCAAAAGTTACTTCCAATTAACATTGAAGTTACTTTTAAAAAATGTCAAACTTACTTGTGTTGATCTATACTGATTAAATTTAATTTATAGATAAAATTATATTTTTATCCCTACAATGAATTTACTTCTAATATCGTGACAAAGTTACTTCCGTTTTATTTTAAGTTACTTTTATAATATATATGTAAATTACTTTTAGACTTTATTGAATTTACTTTTATATGTCTAAGAAGTAATTTAGTCAAATCTAAAAGTAACTTATATATATGATAAAAGTAACTTACGTATATAATAAAAATAATTTACAAATATAAATATTTTTTCATCGTAATATAATCATGTAAGATCTTGTTATGAAGATTTAATTGTAACGAACATAATGGTGTAATTGGATTATAGATCGGATAAGTAATTTAAGAGAAAACTTTATTTGAAGAGGAAAAAGACATACATATCTATTAAAAAAAGGCAGGCAGTCACTACGTTGATCCTTCTCATTGAGCCATTAGAGCGCGGCCACGCGGATGTACGTCGGGACGACAGGCATGATCGAACTGCTGTGAGGCGTGTCGCGTGATACGACTAAAGCGAGAAGCCTCTCGATTTAGATTTTACGTATACGTAATCATACCCACCCCTACCTTGTCAAATATTATCAAATTTTGGCACTACTAATTAATTTTATACGGTTAATTTGGTGTCAAATGAAGCAACCCCAGCCCTTAACACCCACCGCCCATAATCCCAGTTTTCCCTCGAAAGGGAAATGGATCTGCTGCAGTTGAAATCATGGACAAGTCAAAAGATTTTTTTTTCTTCAACCAAACAACACGTGATGATGAGATCATGCTTACATACCTGATGGGGTGACGCCGCGCCGGCAGTAGAGACAAAGGTTGCAACGGAGGCCACGCTCGCCTGCGGCCGCGCAACCCAACAGTATTCGGCGAGGCCGCCGCCGCCGCCGCAGCCACGAGGGTGGTCGCGCGCCACCTGCAGCTGATGATGATGCCCCGCCCACGTCGCCGTCGCGCCGTCGTGTGGCGAGTACCTCCCGGAGGCGAAGGATGGAAAAGTAGGGAAGAAGCAAAGGATGATGATGATCACCTCCAGCTGGTGGAAGAATCCACTCGCCATGGCGGCTACGGCTTACTGATGATCAGCTGGCTAGCTTAGCTATACTCTGTTCGTGTTTAGCTAGGTGCAAGAGGAGGAAGACGAGGGAGGTTTAGCCCACTACGTACTGCACCAACTTTATAGAGAGAGGCTGGTGAATCGGTGATCGACATGGGGTTTACCATCTTCTCGAACCTTCATGCCTCTCGAATCTCGAGGAGGATCGGACGATCACCTAACACTTTTGACTTCACGTACTACCTTGCATGTGAAAGCAATTGCTGTATGCAAATCAAAGTACAGTTAGCTAGTTGCATGCATGGAAACATATAAGCAGGCTGCAGCTGAAACACCGGTCAAATAAGACGAATGATTAAATTTTTTTTAAAAAAACTTAAAGTGCCAAGTAATATGTGATGGAGGTAATAGTAATTAACGGGATACAGGTAACACATGACAGGTCAAAGCTAAGCTGACACGATGGTCCAATTCTCCACTATTTTTTATATACAGAGGCGAACAGTACGTGTCCTTGCAATGTACATATTAGCTAGTAGTACACTCTAATTTTAATCTCTGACCAAATCTCTGCTGAATATACTTATCATTTATTGGCCGGGATTCAGTAGAACAAATGCTATTTGTCTACTCGATCATAAGTCATAAAGCGGCATATGCATCCTTTTTGTTCTATTCATGGATTCCATTTTGACTAAGTATATATGGCAGTATGTGCCAGCTTCAATGCCACTGGGATAGCAGCTGTATTCTTCTATTTAAAACTTATGAAATGGTCCAAATTGCCAGTCGGATTGCTTAAGCTGAATGTTGGTGGTAGCTTTTCGTCGGATTGTTATAATGGTATAACAGCTGCAGTGTTGACTGCCAGGTCCTGCAGTTCCTATTTTAATAGTATTTTGTATAATTTACATATATAATAGTGTTACCTCGTTATAAAATTTAAGTTTTAGGTTTGACCATGGGTTAATGAAGTTGATAGCAGTAAATGAGGGAATGTTAAGTTGTGGTTGGGTGAGAAGAGAATGTAGTAAGTGTTAAAATTAAATGGAGAAAGTTACGATTGGTTGAGTAATCTTAAAATGAATTTTAAATGTTAAAATGATGATATACTTTAGGAACGATGGATATATATAGGTAAGCGTCGCAGGTATGTAGACGTACATGCGTTGTGGATCGATGTTGGAAAGGACACGATAATTAACCACATGATACTATAGGAGACGTACACGTTTAAAGGCTTTTTGCTCTATTTTTAAAAGAAGTTTTCCTTTTATTTATTGATTTGTTTAGAATGGCATTATTTTCTTAGCCTCCAACAAGTGTTCAATACTCCCTCCGTCCCACATCCAGAATATAAAAAGTTTTAGAGTTGGACACGATTATTAAGAAAGTAGATAGAAGTGAATAATGGAGGGTTGTGATTGGATGAGTAGTGGAGGTGGGTGGGAAAAGTGAATGGTGGATGGTTGTGATTGGTTGAGAAGTGAATATTGGTGGAGAAATTATTATATTTAGGATAAACCCTGAAGGCTAAAAGTTGTTATATTTTGGAATGGAGGGAGTAGTAATTATGGACACCTTAAAAATCTGTAGCTCACGATGAAGATATGAACTTGTGTCCTAGGCATTAAAAAATCATTTTTAACAAAAATAAATTACTGCTACCTTTATTTTATATTATAAGCCACTTTTACTTTTTCCTAAGTTATTTTTTATAACTTTATCAAGTTTATAGAAAAATATAATAATCCCTCTGTCCCAAAATATAAGAAGTTTTAGGGTTGGATATGGTTATTAAGCAAGTACTCCCTCCGTCCCAAAAAAAAGACAAACCCTGGTTTCCGTGTCCAACGTTTGACCGTTCGTCTTATTTGAAAAAATTATGAAAAAAATTAAAAAGATAAGTCACGCATAAAGTATTAATCATGTTTTATCATCTAACAACAATTAAAATACTAATTATAAAAAAAATTCATATAAGACGGACAGTCAAATGTTGGCATGGGAACCCATGGTTTGCCTTTTTTTGGGACGGAGGGAGTAGGTAGTTGTAATTGGTTGGGAAGAGAATGTTGGTAGAGAAGTTGTAATATTTTGGGACAAATCCTAAGGGCTAAAAGTTGTTATATTTTAGGACGGAGGGAATAATATTTTCAACATAAAAATATTAAAATATATTCAATGTTAGATACAATAGAACTAATTTAATGCTATATATATTGTTATATTTTTTTTATAAACTTAATCAAACTTTAAATATATCGACTTAAAAAAATTAAAGTGACTTATAATATGAAACAGAGGGAGTACTTTATAATATATTTCAGAAATTTATGCCAGCAGATTCAAGATTTTATTCCCATGGCGAGTTTGAAGTTTGTGTATCGGTTTCACGTCTCTGCTAGGTTCACACCGGTTTATACTAGCAGATTCAGGATTTGTTCCCAATGGCGAGTTTGAAGTATGATCTACCTCTTCTGTATCAAGGGTGTTATGGATTATATTCCAAGTGACTATTTGGCGCACATTGATTTTATCATCACGAGGTTGTTTGGAGATTGAAGATATTTATGCTATAAGGGAAATTCGTATCAAGATGGAGATTGTTAAATATATGATCCGTATTTTGGGCCCACAATATATTCGGATTAGTTATCTAATAGGACTTTGTATTATAGGATTAGTTTCCTGTTAGGACTCCTAGATTTCTCCTATATATATTGCTTGTAACTCGCACGGGGAGAGTGCGATAGCCCAATGTATCCCCTGCGCTTGTATCCAACTTCTCTATAGTGATCATTGCCGGTCGACGCCCGTGGTTTTTTCACGTAAAAATTTGTGTCTCCGTTGTGTATCTATTTTCATAACAAGTAGCACGAAATCTTGATGAAGATCATATGGTGAAGAAATGGAGTGATGGCTAACAAAAAAACATGTTGCGAGTGCTATATATAGCAAAATCGTTCAATTCAGGGTACCAAGTTCTTAAATACGGTCCTTACGAAGTTATACACCGAGGCTTCAAATTCTTAGATACGGCCCTAATAAAACCATGAGTCCATGACAGTATGACACCGCACAAGTGTAAATCGTTGGTGGTGAAAGTGACACTACCCTTTGCTCGGGTCGCGTTGGTCGCCTGGGCTTGTTTGTCTCCAGCGAGACTGAAGCAAGTCAACATACATATTTGATCGAGCTTCATGTTAGAGCCTCGGGTGGGCTGCACATGGGCCAATTCAGCCAGGCCCAATCAACCCATGGAAGGCCAATACAAAAGAACAGAGACTGCAATGCTTGGCATCGAAGAGATCAATTTGGTGGCGACGGCGGCGGTGAAGACCTGGGTGGTCGGTGGGAAAACGCTCCCATCCGGACGCTCGATGGTAGGAAAAAAATCGAACGTCCATGCGCCTCTTCTCAAACCGTATGATGTATGTTTTTTATCCTGCCCGTTGCAACCCCTCCCCTCTCACTCTAACTTCTGCATGCAGCATGCACTCCAATGACATAAAGTAGTCCATCCTCTCCTTTTTTTTATTCCCTTTCATATGCTTGCTTGTACTCCTTAATGTATAACTTCAAATATCTTATTTCATAAAGTATTTATCTAATCCATAATTTGAGTATACCATTGTATTCACCGCAATTAAATCTTCACAACAAGATCTTACTTGACTATATTTTTTTATTTTTTTGTTGTAATGGATTTTTTAATTGTTGCAATGGGTATTTAATGATGTTTTCGCTAGGTCATTTTGAAATGTTGCACAGGGTGTTTTTTAATGTTCCAGGAGGTATTTTGTGATTTCTTCGGCTGATGTTTCATGGTATCATTTTTTTAATGTTACACGTGGTGTTCTTTGAATGTTTCAGGAGGTATTTTGTGATATTGTAGCTAATGTTTCACTAGGTCATTTTGAAGTGTTGCATTGTATTATTTTGATGTTTTTCTTGGTATTTTGTGATGTTTAACTAGGTATTTTGTGATGTTTCCCTATTGCATTTGGAATGTTCCATGTCGTGTTCTTTGGATGTTTCAGAAGGTATTTTTGTGATGTTTCAGAACGTATTTCACTAGCTCATTCAAAATATTGCACGTGGTGTTATTTGAATGCCTCAGAAGGTATTTTACTAGTTCATTTGAAATGTTGCATGTGGTATTATTTGGATGTTTTAGCAGATGTTTCACTAGGTCATTTAGGTTGTTGCACGTGTTGTTCTTTCGATATTTCAACATGTATTTTGTAATGTTTTAGCGGTTACAAATCAATGTTCTATTTATAATATAGAAATGTTTCAATTAGTAATACAAATATATATGCTTTATTTATACAAAATATAATCATAAGAGATCTCTTTGTAAAGATTTCACTGCAACAAATTCAACGGTGCAATTGGATCACAACTTGTATCTAAAATAATTATTTGTTCTTTAATCCGATTACACCATTGTATTCATTACAATTATATCTTTATAACAAGATATCACGCGATTATATTTTCATAAAAAAAATAAATGTTGTTTCACCCCTTAAAAAAATTGTTTCAGTTGTATAAAATATTCTAGAGAAATGTAACATTATAAAATATCGACTGCAACACCATTAACCACCAATATGAAACATTGAGTCTTAAAGAGCAAAACAAGAAAAGTCATATGAGATTTACAAAAAACTTGATATTGTTCAAATATTTTTATATGACTAATGAGTATTAAACTATAACTATTGAAACATTATTAAATACTCAGTGAAACATTTAAGGAAAACAACGTACAAAATTTGCAAATTAACTAATGAAACAACATATGTATACTAGCTGAAACATTTAAATATAACATGTGCAACATTTCAAAGAAAACCATTAAAAAAGTTAAAATATTTTTTTCATCGAAATATATGCATGTGTGGTCTTGTTTTAAAGATTTAATTGCAACGAATTAAAGGATGTAATCGGATCGTAAATTGGAGAAATAATTTAAAAGATAAACTATTTTAAAAGTTGGCAAAAAAAAGTCTTATACTTACCCTACTAGCTTGTACTACCCTACTAAGCATGCATGTAGCTACAAGTAACTGGCTACGCCATATCT